TCTCTTATCATTCTTTGGAGACTCTCGCTCTTAAATTAGACACTTGAAAATTTATATAAAAGATAGTAGTCCAGTATATCGTCAAACAAGAACCGATAAACACAAACAGATTCTTCAATTAATTATTAATCGATTTGATACGAACAACTCTCTCAAGGTATGATCCTTTGCAAAAATGCTAAATGTATACGAACTAAGATAATGCATTCAAAAACTATTTCTATTTCGGATGAAATTCGTCTATTGTGTATGTTCCTTGCTCGTATGCTGCAAATTTTTCAGATAAAAATCACAATTTGATTGGTATCCGAATTTTATGGTGTCTTTAGGTCATTAAGTATTTTGCACGTATTTGGAATTAGTATTGAATTCTAAACAAAAAAGGATGTATTTAGCTGATCGAGGGACCGCCGGATTTTGTGACCTATTTTGAACGAGGATATCATATATTTTTCTCAACAATTCTAATCTGTATATGGACTCTCAGTATATCAAAATTTGAAGTAATACGATTGTTTTTCGTAATAGAGCAGTTACCATGACCTTGAGCTTACGTTCTTCGTATTTTTTTTATCCATGAAATCTGAATTTTTATGTGCATGTAAGTTTCTATTAAATAAATAGACGATGATAACATTTAGAATAATCCATCAAAAATTTTGCGCTCTATCGTCTTTTTCATGACATGCCAAATGAACGGTAATAAACGAAGAGAAAAAAATCTAGACAATGGGAAACTCGCAATAATGATAATATTAAAAAATATAAGAAAAATCTTATACACCATTTTTCGAAAGTCGAAAAAGGACTGATGAATAAAATATTGTTTTATTCTTGTTTACTTTTGAAACATTTTTATATTTTGACGATTTTGTTGATTCTAAGGTTTTCATGTTTTTTTTTTGCAGAGATACCTGATTTATTTACCAACAAAAACTATATTTTCTTATTATTTTAAAATTTATTTTTTTCAAATGGATAAAAACATCAAAAACAAACCCATTATACAAATCTTAATTCTACGAACGATTTTTACTATCTTGTTTTAATAAAACCCTTGTTCTCTCATAATATGTATGATCAGTATCTGGACATTATTTCAATCTTAATTTCTTGCATCTAAAATAAATTAATCAAAACGTAAAATTTTTGACATGATATTTATTTCTTCAGAATAGGTTTTCTATTGGTTATAAATAAATCTTACTAATATAATACAACGTTTTATTTATCGAAAAGTTGAAAAATCTAATCACAAGAAAAACAAACTCTATTCAGTCTTGATATGTAAATACTGTATGAAGTATATCTTATAATAAACATTTAGTTATATACGAAATAAATTATCAGATGTCCATTAAAGGTAATCGTTCTATCCGTTGATTCATATAAATAGTATGAAATAAAAAAACAAGAGACAAGTGTAGTTGTAATCAATCATATCTCCTTTGTCTATAGTAAAAAAGAACAAAAGAAAAACATAAAATACATATTCACCAAATATTGTTGACTAATACGATGCATTCATTCATGCATTTATTTTCTTGTCTTCTCATTCTCACATACAATTTATTGCATATCAAACTGTTACTAGGAGTCAGAAAAAGCACATTCATTCGAATATGATCATTATTTTATCTTCTCTTTAATTTAAAATTCAATTGAATTTTCTACTTGCCTTGCATCAATGATATTATATAACAATCAATCAATTGATTCTTCGTTATCATATTTATTCCAAAAAGATATCTATTCTTCAACATTTAGCTTCCTGATATTCAACAGAAACATCATTGGTTGAAATAATAAAATCACAACGAGGTATACAAATTAAAACTATTTAACTATATAGGTCATTTCAAATAAAACGGGATACACTCTCTGTTTATTTGACTGTGATTCTTTACAAGGGTTATTTTTCTGAATAAGTTCTATTAGCATAGATATACGTATGTACAAATGTTAGCTCTTTCAGTTGACTATTATTTAACATTAATTCGTTAATTAACGAATTAAACAAGTAATTAGCAAAGAACTCTAACTATACGAGGAAAAAATTCGGAAACTTCGTATTATAGACTCTAGAGCACCAGCTGCATCTATAGTAAAATTTTCAATAAGATCGAATTCTAGAAAACTCTCTCTTACAATCCAATTTTCTAGAGATCCTGAATAATGGTTTGCATAGTTTAGAATTGATTTTGAACTTCTCATTCGATTAAAAGAGTATTTTTATTTCGTTTGTATATTTGTACTTTATTACGTTTCTCATGAAAAGTCAATCGAATTTTTTGAAAAAAATCTAAGCACACTCAAACAACTCTCCATAAAGATTTTGTAGCCTCAAGAGTTATTTACAGAAAGTACTATTTGGTTTACTAAAATACTGCCTCAAGTCGCTACAGGATTTATAGAGAATCTACAGCGCTAACGAATGATTTGATCTATATGTATTGTGTTACAGTTACAACTTCGTCGTATAATAGTGTAAAGGTTACTTCAAATTAACTAGATATCAACTATAATTCACGATATTAAAAACAAAATATTTACTATAGTTAATTTTTTCGTTTTGCTTATTTCTATTAGATTTCAACTACATGTGCAAAAGTGACCTCTGATTTCGGTAAAATTTTCAGAGTTTATAAAACTTTTTAGATTAACTAATTTGATTAAAAACAATTTTGATAAATACAGTTTTATTTCAATTGTTCTAGATATTTTTTTTTTAACATCACAGCAAAGTCAAAAATAAAATTTGTCACCATATTCAGATTCTTCGTGGCAAGACTCATCTGATCATACTAAACTTGGTATGAATTAGAATAAAAAGCAAATACCAAATTTGGTTGGACTGCTTACCGACTAAAAAATAATACAATGCTATTTTGCATCCACAATTATTCCAAAAAGTCAAACTGTTCGATGTGGTGATATGGCGCATTCGATAAAGTATCATTACCTATAAAACCATGATCGTACTAAATTCTTAGTATTGTTGATATGGCTAAAGGATTGAATCAATCTCGTGAAGTATTATTTTCAGTAATACTGTTGCAACTAGTATTGAGTACAAATTCATTTTATTTCAATGACCAACACAGAAAGTAGACAAAACCCTCTAACCCAAAAAATATCGAAACTTCGAAAATGTACCATTCTTGTTAAGCAATTGATTCAACAGTTCTTTTTTCATCAGAAATAGATTTCGTACAGATACATTTTTTAATATTGAATTGTCCAATGTAAATAACTTGGAGACCAAGTTACCATTAATCTCGATGTGGTCTACACTTATTATTAATCACTAATCTTGCCCGTAGAAGTCATACAATCTCCTCCAATAACCGACACAAATGACTTCAGATTCGTATTCAAAGTACAAATCAGGGTGGTAAAAATTACATAAGAATCATGTTCTTCTAGTGATCAACTAGATTGGAGTCATAAATGTACCATATAAATATATGAAAGAGAGATATCAGTATAACCGTAGAGTATGTTATGTTTTTAACATAGTATTCTTATCATTGAGTCTTCTGTCGTTTCACCCTTAATAGAATTCTAGAAGTTTAGGTCATTCGCTCCACTACAAAAACAGTATTTTCGAGAGACCCAGATTTTTACGCAAAACACAAGTATGAAATCAGCTTTTCGACTATTGAGAGACATTGCATGGCTTCTACAGGCACGATTAGTGACCACTAAGAAGTGTAAATCACGTTGTGGTTAATGCTAAGCTTCCAAGTTATTGATATTGAACAATTCAATATCAAAGATGCGTTCAGATGAAATCTATTCCTGGTGAAAAATAAACAATAGCATCAACTGCACAACGGAAGAAAAGCCCGCAATACTGCTCCGTCAGAAGGATATATTTTCAAGTTTTCCGTAGTTTTTCAGTTACAGGATCTGGTCTACATTCTATTTTGCTCATTGAAATAAAATGATTTTTTTTTTCTATACTGATTTTTATCTAATGAGATGTCTCCGAGTTCAAACTATCAATTTTTTATGATTCCATGAAAGATACTCCCAGGACAGGTACACTACAGCGGCGTCTGCTCCATTTAAAATCCAAAATCATTTTTGAAAACCTACTGATTTATATAAGCCAAAAAGTATCTAAAATAGTTACAGATCAGGGCAGGATTCAAAAATACATGGAAAACTCAAGAATCATTTTGTGAATTAGGTAGTATCAGTCACATTGCATGTTTATCATAGAATGAAAACGTAGAAGTATAATAAAGTCGTGTTCGTGGAGCATCGGTCTTTTCTAACTTCATATCCACACTCACACTCCATAAATTCTTTACACACACACACACACACACCATAACAACTTTCACACATGCATTCACACCCACACCCTCACTTATATTCGAACCCACATCGAACACATAAATCTGCACCCATCCTTATCGATTTATATGCTGTTCTTGCAGTCAATAAGAGTTCTATCAAGTACTGTTGAGGAGCAACTGTTGCTAGGGAGCAAGTGCCGGGGGAGCATCATTCTGGTAACCATTTTTTTTATGTTTATTCGTAAAAAAATGATATAAATGTTTTATTTTGTTTTTAATATTATCACTTAATTTCATATTTATATGGTATTGAGTTGATTCGAAGTAATTTCGATGAACTTTTTTGCCAAAGTAGTAACCTTGTGCACAGTCTACACTGTTACACAGAGTTTGAAAACATTAGATTGTTTTTATTACGTGCGTCTAAAAAAACATAAATATTTTATTTTCAGACGAATAATCGTCTTTGACTGATGTATTCATAATTACTCTTGTGTAATCACTCTTCTCAAAGCATCTATTTCTTGACTTTGAAGTTGAAGAGAAAACCATAACTTTGCATAGGAATGCAAAAACACTCCTTTTTTTGTTCCTTCAGGAAAAAAACAATTTTTTAAGAAATAATATTATATTTAATTTTCTCTTCTAATTACAATTATCTTCAGAACATCAGAATTTTATTATTTTCATCAAATGTCTCAGCTATGTTCGATCGAGAAATGCACCCGAACATCACGTTGGCTGTGTGATTGTTGCCAACAGAACCTTTGTTTACAACATTTAAATGAACATAATGAGCTACTCATTTCTCAACTAAATCCTTTGACTGATGAAATCAATGCACTCGGAAATTATCTTGATACACTAAGTATTCACAAAGAAATTGCGGATAGTCGTGAAAAACTTAAACAATGGCGTGAAGATTGTCATAAGAAGATTGATTCTGTTTTTGAACAAATATGTGAAGAAATTAATCAATTTGTTAATGAAACAGTTGAAGAACAACGAGAAGAACTCAATCTAATAAATCTCAAGATAACTGAATTTATCACTGAACAAGAAATAACTCGTCAAGATATCAATCTATTGAAATCAACTATTCGTCAGCTCGAGCGAAATATGAACAACCTCGAACAAACATGTTTTACGATTCATATCCGTCCATTAGTAATAGACGACATATTTATGTCTATAGAAAAAACTACTGAACATGAACTTGATCTATCAACTCTTTCACCTGTATACAAAACAATTCATCGTTCTGAGGGAAGTTTTCGACCATTTATTAGCAATGATCAGTACTTATTAATGCATCAACATCCAAATTTATGCTTATTCGATCAAACTATGAGCTTAGCCAAGCAGACTTTGTGGTCGTACGGTGAAATTCAGGACATGTGTTGGTCGTCAACATTGAATAAATTCATTTTACTTGGAAAAAATGACATCTTTCTCATAAATGAAGATACAATGTCAGTTGATAATGTGTATACAACCAAAGAACGACAGTGGCTATCGTGTACATGCTCTGAAACAGTTCTATTCGCATGCACAAATGGACGTGCATCATCTATTATGGAATTTTCATTACTACCAGCAATCGAGTTGATTAAAGTATGGAAATATCCTTTGACATGTAGCAAAGATGAATTTATTGTTAGTAGTATTTACAATAACGGAAATCTAGCTCTGATGATTGTGAATACATTGGATAAAACGCTGAGCATGGAATTGAGATATGCAAAGACACTCGATCCCATCTGGTCATTTCAACTTAATATTAGTTGGACTCAAAAACTAGCATTTCGCTGTTGCTCACTCCCTTGTAATGAGTGGCTCGTTGTCGACTATGAGACTGGACATCTACTTCAGATTACAAAAGATGGAAAAATAAAGAAGATAATTGAATATTATCCGACTCCTTGTCGTGCTATTCTGTTCGACATAAATACTCTAGCAGTATCAACTACCAATGACATAAATCTGCATACGATTCAATAAAATAAATAACTACTTGTGTTTAAACTTTTGCTTTACTATTGCGGTGAGAAGGTTGAGTTACAACATAATTAAATCTATGTTGTTGAATTGTAAATTTTAGTTGATTATATTATAAAGGTCACTTTAGTTAGAATAATTTTTCATTAATTTTATTATATGTAAATAAAAATTCACATTTTACTTAACCAATAAAGATGGAAAAAGTTATATTTAATTGAATGTTTAAAATATACATCTGAGATCATGATGATAAGAAAAAACACCATGAATGAATCTAGAATTCTCCACATATAACATCTCGCCAAGACCCATTCAAATACTCATTTTAATAAGTCTTGTTTTTGTATATGTAAAATTGAGCAGACTTTGATGAATCGTTCTTCTGAAAAATTATTGATGATCAACTCTAAAATGTTGAAGGTATGTTCTCCCTGATGAGTCAGGCATTATTCATACCTTGTATAAATATAAAGAACTGTTGATATAAACCAATAATTTGGATTGTCATGTGTTTTTTCATAGGTTATTGTATATTTTTCTTGTATAATGTCACATGCAAGCAAATCGAAATTAGAGAACACATATTCTTTATTGTGCTCGGAAAAATCGAAACTTTTCTCGTAAAAATTCATTCAAAAAATTTGAAACATCTATATTCTGGATCAGCTCGTCATGCTATAACTAACCGTTTATAAAAAAAATCTGTCTTAATTATGCATTTCCGGCATCTTACGTTTAAAAATAATAAATTAGGTGTGTTGGAATATTTTTTTGATTTATGTACGAGTCAACGGTCAAAGAATATAAAAAAAAAAGGTTAAAACGTCCTGTAGTGAATGTAAGACCTCTAGAACACTACATCTATTTAGAATTAGTTACTGTGAATGTGGATGTTTTCTGCATAAAACAACTTGACTTAAATTTATTGTTGATTAAACTATTTTAATATAAAGTAGATATAATTATCATGTTCACTCTTGAATTATATAATTATAACATTAAATTCTATTTCAAGGAAATAAGCAAACATTCTTCTCATCATTATTATTATCAAACTGTTATTTATCGTTATTAAATGGTTATTTTTACTTTGTCACTATCGTCTTAGTTATTATCTTAGTCGACAACATAAACTGATGCAACATTTACTTCTTCTAATATGTTTTTTTTTTTATTTTAATGAAAATATTAGATACCTTTTTTTTTTTCTAGAATCTGAAACAAATGTGATTAATAAACAAAACGTACTGATGACAAATTTTTCTAACACGCCTTATATTATTCATCCTTCGACATTGGAATCTCCCATGGACATGGATAAGTTCTTTTTTTAATGATTTCTTTCTCTTTTTCTCTTGTATTATGGTATAGTAAATTTGTATTTCATTGTACAGGTAGCAGAGCCAATGACATTTTTTATACATATTATATATTATTTACGTGTTATTTTGTTTTGTTGTGTATTTAAATCAAAATGAATCATTTTAGTGATATTAAGAGAATAAAAGCAGCAATACAAAGAAGACAACTATCCTATTTAATCATTTTCAGTTTTAGCGTGTAGATATGTCTAAGCGTGTCTTTGTTTTTTTTTACAGCCGATTGTTTTCTGTAGTCGATAGCGCTTACAAATGGTTATTCACATAATTACAAATAATCGATGATACTGCCCATATGCAACCACGCAAAACAATCGGCTTTCAAAAAAAGATACGTCAAGGTATACCTACGCTTTAAACTGAAAATGATTAAATAGGATGTTATTGTTCTTTGTATTGCTCTTTTGTGCTCTCTCAATAACACTAAAACGGGTCATCTTGTAATAAATACACAATAAAACCAAATACATAAATAAAATATGATATGTGTATACAAAATAATACAAGAAGAAAAGACAAAGAAGCTTATTTTTTGTTCGTAGGAGAAAATATCTTTCAAGTTAGAAATAACTTTATTTCTGTAAACAAATTCAGATTTTTTTTTTGTACATTCATTCTAATAAGTAAATTAGCAAAAATTACAAGAAAATGTTGTATTAAATGATCAAATTTTATTTTGTCGTATTGAAATCATGTCAAGAATTCGAACAGGCAAAACTTCAAGAGTATAATATTGATCAACGAAATTTTTGTACAAAACTGTGTATCTGAAAATAAAAAAACTCGATTTATCTTGTCAAATACTTTAAAAATAATGATCTCTTTGTATTAATTAAACCAACAGTAGATCAAAATGATGACGACCCAGTGAAAAATTTTCGCGATTTTCAATCGGATTTTTGTGCAACAAAATCAAAATTAAAATCGATTGATAATTTTGATTATTGTTGATCATGACTTAACTATTATTTGCTATTATTGCTTATCCAGTGTAAAATTTTCCGATTAAAATCGGATTATTCTGTAGCAAAATCAAGATTATAAATCGATTAATAATTTCAATTGTGCTGCAAAATAATCCGATCTTAATCAGAAAATTTTACACTGGATAAGCAACAATATCAAATAATAGTTAAGTTAAGATCAACAATAATCAAAATTATCAATCGATTTTAATTTTGATTTTATTGCACAAAAATCCGATTGAAAATCGCGAAAATTTTTCACTGGGCGAATGAACCAAAGTTCATGAGGATCTTCGTATTTTGTTATTATCTCATTCAATTTTTAATGTTTAGGCTTCTTGTTGACATCAAAAAGTGTGTAGTGAAATTCTTGACAAGTGAATATAAAAGTTACTCCATCTAAGATTGAGAGATAAAACCCTGAATAGATTAATACATACATTTTTTGTCTCAATTGGGTAGAAAACAGAACAAGTTTAGTAGATTTTGCTTGTTTCATCCGGATAAGGAAGGATACTTGATGTTTTTTTTGTATGCAAATCTAAGCAAGTGTTACCCTATTGTCATTCAAGAAAAAAAGCTAATTTTTACTAATTTAGAAAAAAAAAGAAATGACGCATTTGTGACTTAGGTTGAAATCGAAGCATTTTTCTACTCTTGTCCAAAGATAAATCCTCACATCTCCCAATATATAATTGCACAATGTAAATAACTTCGGAGGCGAGTTAGTATTGTCTTCAACATGGTCTATCCTTCGTATTGATTATTAATTTTAGGTGTGAAAGTCATCCAACTTCTTTCATCATTACACAGTAAAATAATAAATTCAAAATAAAAATAAATAATCTTAATTTATTATTTAGATTGATAATGGTCAACATTTAATAATACTTTGAGCATATATTCGAATAATAAATTATTCATTATTTGATGAAGATCAAGATTGTTTCTTATCTGTTAATGAATATTAAAGAATAAAAAATAAATAAAAACTACATTTTGTTATTTTTTTTTTGTTCAAGAATCAATCTTGATCGAAATCTATATATTTCTCCAACAAAATCAATTCAACGTCATAAGGATTGAATTCATGACGTTTGTCAAATACCAAATAGAAAAATTCTTTTACTTATAACTGTTTCTAGTAATCTTAGTGCTCGAGCCTGTTGATACAGAAAAATGTTTATATAGATTTTTATTTGCTAATGAAATTCATAGTCAAAAAACGAAAGTAATTATTCATTTGATTGAGTTACATGCAGTTTTACGTCATTGATAGTCGATACAGCTAGCATATTTAGGTTCAATAGAACAGCACGGTAAAGATCCGAATAATCTTGAATTGTTTTCCCATCGTTGGTAATATGAATTAGACATCCAGTCATTCATTACCAGTGAGTGAATAACAGCAAAATGTTAGATTTTGACCACATTTAATATCAAGTTGAACTGTCCAGATACGATTGAACGTCTTAACATACCTTAAGTCAATGCGCATCGATTTCTCGGATACATTCTTGGTCATCCTAGCAAGATTTCCATTATTGTAAACTATATCATCAATCATTTCATCCTTGCTACATATAACAGGATATTTCCGTTCTCTAATCAATTCAACTATTGGTAATAATATGAATTCCATAATAGATGAACTAAATTCGTTTGTGCATGCAAAGAGAACAGTGTCAGAACAAGTACACGATAGCCAGTATCGTTCCTTAATTGTGTATACCTTATCAATTGACATTGTATTTGGTTTACTATGTTCATGATTCGATCAAATAAACATAAATTTGACTTTAGATGCATTAACAGAAACGATCGTTTGCAGTTAGCGATTGAAAACTTCTCTTTGGATAATAAATTCTTCTGCAGACAACCGAAAGAGCTGATAGATCAAGTTCATGTTCAGTCGTTTTCTCTATAAAAACGAGCCTTTCATCTATTAATATTGGACGAGTATTGATAGTAAAACATGTTTGTTTAATGTTATGAATATTTTTTTCGAGCTGGTGAACACTTGATGTCAATATATCAATATTGTGATGAGTTGTTTCTTGTGCATTAATCAGTTCAGTTATTTTCAGCTGCATTCGATTGAGTTCTTCTCATTGTTGGTCAACTTTTTCATGAACAAGTTGATCAAGTTCTTGACATTTTTGTTCAAATAAACAATCAATCTTCTTACAACAGTCTTGACACCTTTCTTCAAGTTTTTGACGACTATTACCAATTGTTTTTTGAATATTTAGCGATTTGAGACGATTTTCAAGCATATTGATTTCATCAATCAAAGGATTCAATTGAGAAATAAATAATTCATTATGTTCATTTAAATGTTGTAAATAAAGATTGTCCCAGCAACAGTCACACAGCCAATGTGATGTACGAGTGCATTTCTCGATCGAACATGATTGAGACATTAGATGAGAATAATACAATTCTGATGTGGTAGAAATGGATGCTGTAGGAAGAGGAAAGGAAGTATGACGTTATTTCTCAAGAAAAAAAAAATGCTCGTTTGCTAAAGAAACGAAAAGTGATTGCTTTTGCATTTGTTTAATGAAATTTAAGATTGTTTTTTCAACTTTAAGGACCTTTTTCGATACAGAAAAGTTAATTTTGCTCAAATTTATCGATTTTGCCATTTATACTTCGTTAGATAGAGCAGTGTCTACTGTCAAATGCATTGTAGTTTCTTGGTTTTAAACTGGAATTTAATGATGTTTGATAAGTTTTTCTGAATCCTTACACAGGAGAAACTAACGTTTTTTTCTAAAAACTTTGATTTTTAAAGTCTTTCAAACTTCTCTGTTGACTTTTGTCAGTAACAGATATGCCTCTCATGCATCACAGAGTGTGATAAGTGAATATAACTGTCGAACATGAAAAACTACAAAATACAATGACAGCAATAAACAATGATTCATACCTACGTCTACGTTGGCAGAATAGACATTCAAAGATTTTGCACTATTATTCCACCAATGTAAAAATTATGTTTTGAAGTGTTTTAGATAATTTAAAAATATTAAGTCTTAATGCTGTTCAGGGTTGTCGATTGTTTTGAAATGTGGGAGGGGCAAAAAATTCGCCAGAAAGTCGGAAAATTTTGGCAAAAAGTACCTCATTTTACCTGCTGGTAGCAACCGAACAAATAATGCTCATTTCGTCGACTTTCTGCGAGGTTTTGTTGAAAAAAAAAAAGGGTTTTTATTCGATTTTCTGCCAGAAAAATGGCAAAAAGTGCTTAAAAAGGGGGTTTCTGCCAGAATTTACAATGAGACTTTTTAAAATTTGACAGAAAGTGTCGGAAATTTTTTCAGAAAATCAGGTGTGGTTTCAATTTTTAGTGGGGGAAATAGCCCCCCCCCCCTCCCCATTCCTCCCCCTAATCGGCAAGCCTGTTCCAGACTCTTTAATGAAAACTATTTGAAAAATGCAAATTTTCTAGAATCCAGTTGTTTATTAGAACTATGAGTTTCGATGAAAATCAGCTTCAATCTCCAGAAACCATACGTGACCTGAAGGTGTCGGTGTGAACAACAAAATGATTTCATTTTTTCCATAAAAAAGCAATATTTTGTTATAAAATCTAAAAAAGCACTTAACTTCTAATACACTATTGGAAAGATCACTATTTGTACTACAAAAATCGTCATTGAAAACATTTTTCTCTGACTCTCTTAATAATTTAAAGTAATAGAAATGGAAGTAATGTTGCTCGATGATGAAGTTACAGGAGTTTTTTTTAGAGATGTTTCGTTTCAATTAAAGCATATTTGATTACTTTAGAACTCTGTGATATCGCCAAATAGACTCTGACATTTTTTTTCCATTTGTTTCTCAACCCATATTATTTCATATTAAAGTTAAACCATTCGAACAAGTTGCAATTTCAATTCAATTAAATAATGATATTAAAAAGAAAAATATAAATATTTATAGTTATTTTTTTTTTCATCTTAAAAACATTTATATGAATTTTACGAATAAACTGAACGAGTTATTGAAAAAAGTTAAACATTACTTTTTGTTAGTATTTTAACTGTATATCAATGCCAAAAATACTCTGACGATAAATATAACTTAAACGGCTACTAAAGTTAGACTCATAGTCAGTCAAATGAAGACTTTTTGTAACTGAAGTTTTAAATACTATGTTTCATTATTATCTAAGTATCAATCTAGCATAAATTCTCCTAGTGAAGTTAATCTGAATGAAGAGCATATCAGACAAACATGATAAGAAAATTAGTAAGAACAACTTTCTACCTTCGAACGTAATCATTCGAGTGATGTTATGAGGATTTTGTTTTGAGATTTATTGTTTATATTGAAATATTCGGATCTATCTTTTGCAATATATCATATTTTTTGACTGTACTAGAAGAGAACCAAAGGCTGAAGGAGGCATTCTACATCATCAGCTAGTTGTTTTCCGCAATAATCTTGTCGTTGCTTTTACTTGCAGCTAGACGGTTCGTTTATCTTCGTTTTTAACCTTGCAATTTATCACACAAAAAAAAAACCGAGATTCCTAGCAAAAAATAGGAAGCACTTGAAATAAAATATACTGTCAAAAATTTTTGAATAATATGACAACCCGATGTTTAAATTCGAGTATAGCATTCTAGACATCTATTATCATTAATTACAGATATTAGTGGCGTCAGAAATCGAGGAAAAGTTGAGAAGAGAAAGATTTGAAAATGAATCAGAAGTGAAAAATGTTTAGCACCGGAAAACATGAGAAAATGATGGAAAATTTACTGAAATCGAATGAAGCAAGTGATAGATCAAGATTAAGAGTAGATAGACAAATAGTGACAGACGTTTTTTTTTTCTTTTTATATTTAAAGAATTTCGATCTCTAAATCGCAATCAAATCATTGCTTTTTATTTAACTTCTCGAATAAAACACCGGAAAAAATTCTTATGAACTCTATGTTACTTGTATCTATACAACAATAAGAGGTAGAAATCAGAGGCTACAGCGAATAAGAAAATCTCGATTCGATTCGTTTGACACTGAAAAACGAAAATTCCGTCATTGTGATGAGTATCCACAACCTTTTAATTATCAAACTTCACCATTTAGTTTTTCAGTCAAATTGTTCACAGACAGTTTTCATGTCAATTATCGAATCATTATACATAGCAGAGTATGAAATATTCATAGTTATTCTTTTACAATCGCTATACTTACGACATCTACTCATTGAATTCAAAGTTGAAAAAAAAGTTAATTTCGTTGACACATATGCAAAAACAATCTTTTCCTTTTCTTCAATAAACAAACACTCTTCTTCTTAAACACTAACAGCATATTTCACTTTTCTGTCCTATGCTGCAACCATCTTCAGAACTCAGAATTTCATTATTTTCATCTAACGTCTCGGCAAAACATGTTCCATCGAGAAATGCATCCGTATATCACGTGGGTTGTGTGATTGTTGTCAACAAAATCTTTGTTTACAACATCTAAATGAACATAATGCGTCAGCTTGGAGATCGTGCTAAAACATTAAATATTCAAAAAATAATTGGCAATAGTCGTCAGAAACTTGAACGATGGTGTAAATATTGTCATAAGAAGGTTGATTGTTTATTTGAACAAAAATGTCAAGAACTTGATCAAATTGTTAATGAAAGAGTTGGTCAACGACGAGAAGAACTTAATAGAATACATTTGAAGATAACTGAACTCATTAATGCACAAGAAACAACTTGTCCAGATATCGATTTATTATAAGATCAACTATTCATCAGCTTGAAACAAATATGAACAATATGAAACAAATCTGTTTTACAATTAATACTCGCCCATTAGTAATAGATGACACGATTGTTATTGCAGAGAAAAAGACTAAACATGAACTTGATCTATCAATTCTTTCACCTGTTTACAAAACAATTCATCATCCAGATGGAAGCTTTCGGTCAGTAACTAAAAGTTATCAACACTTATTGATACATCAACATCCAAATTTATGTTTATTTAATAGAGAACTGAGCATAGTCAAACAAACGTTATGGCCTTATGGTGCAATTTCGGACATGTGCTGGTCATCAACATCAGATCGATTCATTGTACTTGAAGTGAATAACATGTTTCTCATAAACGAAGATACAATGTCAATTCATAATGTGTATACAATTAAAGAACAAAAGTGGTGATCGTGTACATGTTCTGATACAGTTCTCTTTGCAAACACCAATCAATGGGGTTCATCTATTATGGAATTCATATTATTCCCAACGATTAAAATGATTAGAGAATGGAAGTGTCCTCTTACATGTAGCAAAGATGAAGATATTGATGGCATCGTTTACAATAACGGAAGTCTTGCTCTGACGATTAAGAATATACTTAAAAAATGCTGCATATTGAATTAAGGTATACAAATACGTTCGATCGCATATGGTCGTTTCAATTCGATATTACGTGCGTCCAAAAAATAGCATTTCGTTGTTGCATACTCCATAATCACGAATGACTCATTGCCGAATATGAGACTGAACGCCTTCTTCAAGTTACAAAAGACAGAAAAATAAAGAAAACAATTCAATATTATCCGAACCTCTATCGTGCTACTTTGTTCGATCTAAATAAACTAGTTGTGTCGACTATGAATGATGTTTGGTTGCATATGGTTCAATAAAATAAATGACTGTTTTCGTCCACTATTTTGTTTTACTTTTTGGATGGAGGACTCGAATCAAAATATACTTAACAACATATTTCTGAAATATAATTTAAGACTGACTTGATAATCGAGATGAGTCAAGTTACAATACTTTTTTAAAATTTTTTAAAATTTTTTATATGCACATAAAACATTAAAATTCGTTGACCAATAAAAATAGAAAAAGTTATTTGCTTTTTTTTTTAGAAGTATAAGGAAGTAGTTTGTGCAGTCAAACAAGTCGTTATTGATCGGCGTCTTCTAGTAGAAATGAATAGATTCACCTGCTCATCGTAAGAGAAATCCTATCAATAAACGTCTCTGACTTCTCACAAGATACGACTGTATATCATGATCAGAAGTAGATAGATATCAGACTAAGAAAAAGCTAAAGGATATTAGTCATGGTATTCTCGATAAATATTACAATCCTTTCACTGAATTCTTGGCTTTTTTGATAAAAATTAAATTAAAGAGTCTAAATCTTTACTTGTGTTCGCAGATTGATCTAATTGCTCATTGAATATTTTGGAAGTTTTAGTCAAAATAAATGTTCCTTCTCTACTTCCTTTTGGTATGATTTTCATATTGTGACAAATCATTAGATACTTTTTTCCCCAAAAAATTTCTATACTTAAAGTAATTTTACGTTGATTTTCTTCTTACATGTAAATGTGATATACCTGTTGCATATCATGGTCTCTTATTTTTTCGTGATCAGATCTATGCTACTGCGGCCATAGATCGTCCTTCAATTTATGCTTGACAATTGAATAGTTGACTACGATTTCATTTATTTACATAACTTCTAGAATCGAACTTATAAAGACAAATAGCAATCACTGGACTTATTAGTTCAATGACATATACTCTTGATTAAACTGTCTTAACTTGTATAATAGGAAACAAAATACGTCTATATACAGAGTAAAATAATAAATTCAAAATGAAAATATATGGTTTTAATTTATTATTTAACGTGATAATGGTGAACATTTAGTAAAATTTTCAGCATATATTTGAACAAATAATTTATTAGTTGATGAAGATCAAGACTGTTTAATATCAGTTGATGGATATCCTCTTATGGATCGATCGAATATTGAAGAGTATAAAAAAAAAATTCAATTTAAAAAAATTTTTTTTTTAAATAAATCTTGACCAAAATCTAGATATTACTCCCACAAATTCATTTTCAGGTCGTGGGGGGGTCCAATTCATGTTCTTTGTTAAATATCAATTAGAAACATTCATTTACCTTTGAATGCTTAAAGTGATCTTAGTCTTCAAGTATGTTTTAATAGTCTTTGTTTCTTTTTCTAAAATAATAAATTTTGAAGTTTAGTTATGGGATATTGTCACGGGAAAATGTTTATGTACATTTTTATTTCCTAACGAAATTCATTCAAAATATGTCTCATCACTCTCTACGACAATTTATTTTTGTATAGATATTAGTACAATTTTTATTATTTTGTTACGAACATCGGCAACACAAGTAAATAAGAAAAAAAATAAATATATTGCTTTCCTGTAAAAGATTTTGTTTGAAATAGACCTTTCCGAATGAAAAAATAATAATCAAATTGTAATACATACTCTGATAACTTGAAATGATTATACGCAAAGACCAATATGTTATCAGGGTTCTATAAAAATTTATTTCTACAGTAAAAATTTATGAATACAGAAATAAAAAATAGAGTAAAATATTAAATCAAAGCAGTCATTTGTTTTATTGAATTGTATGCAGTCGAACATCATTCATAGTTGATACAGCTAGATTATTTAGGTTCAACAGAATAGCACGATAGGGAGTCGGGTAATATTGAATTGTATTCTTTATTTCTCCATCTTTTGTGATGTGCAGCAGGCGTCCAGTGTGATAGTCAACAATCAACCACTCATTACATGTTAGTGAACAACAGCGAAACACTTTATTTTGAATCCATCTAATATCAGTTTGAAATGACCAGATACGATCGAACGTGTTTGCATATCTTAATTCAATCCGTACCGATTTCTCGGATTTTTTCATAACCATCAGAGCAAGATTTCCGTTGTTGTAAACAGTATCAGCAATAAATTCATCTCTGTTACATGTATGAGGATATTTCCATTCTCGAGTCAATTCGATTGTGGGCAATAATGTGAATTCCATAACAGATGAAGCACGTTCAATTTTGGATGCAAAGAGAACCGTGTCAGAACATGTACACGATCCCCAGTCTCGTTCTTCAATTGTATGGACATTATCAATTGACATTGTATGTTCGTTTATGAGAAAGATGTCCTTTTTCCCAAGCACAATAAAACGATCTAATGTTGACGACCAACACATGTCATGAATTGCACCGTAAGGCCATAACGTTTGTTTTACTATGTTCATTTCTCTATCAAATAAACATAAGTTAGGCTCTTGGTGCTTCAATAAGTACCGATCATTGCCAGTTAGTGATCCGCAACTGCCCTTAGGACTGTCAATTGTTCTGTAGATCGGCCACAGAGTTGATAGATCAAGTTCATGGTCAGTCATTTTCCTAATCAAAACGAGCGCGTCATCTATTACTAATGGATGAGTATTGATTGTAAAAAACTTTTGTTCGATGTGGTTTATATTTGCTTCGAGCTGGCCAATACTTGATCTCAATGAATCGATATTCTGACGAGTTATTTCTTGTACATTGATTAACTGAATTATATCCCGTTGTATTCGATTGAGCTCTTCTCGTTGTTGGTCAACTTTTTCATTAATAAGTTGATCAAGTTCTTGACATTTTTGTTCAAAAAAGCAATCTATCTTCTTATAACAATCTTGGCGCCATTGTTCAAGTTTTTGACGACTATTGTCAATTATTTTGTGAATATCTAGTGTTTTGAGACGATTCCCAAGTGCATTAATTTCATCAGCCAAAGGATTCAATTGAAAAATAAGTGACTCATTGTGTTCATTTAAATGTTGTAAACAAAGATTTTGTTGACAACAATCACACAACCCACGTGATTTACGGACGCAATTCTCGATCAAACATGGTTGAGACATTTGATGAATATAATAAAATTTTGATGTTCTGCATATAGTTATCGAAGGAAGAGAAAAAGAATTGTAATGTTATTTTCAAGAAAAGAATTATTTGTTTGCTGAAGAAACGAAAAAATCATTATTTTTGCGTTGGCATAATGAAGGTTAAGTTGTTTTTTCAGCTTTTAACTCAATAAACAGACTTTGTAAGAATAGAGACTTGATAAAAATGATGCTGAACACTTCAACTCGAAATACTTATTCATCGAAAAACAGAATATTCATTTTTTTCGATAATATGATTAAAACACAAGAATTGGTCTTTTATTGTATGTAACATTGTAGACTGTGTGTATAAAACGAGCAACTTCAAAAGTCGATATTTTTTTATAATTTCAGGCTACGTGAACCAAGTTTTATCAAAAAACAAACAAAATGTAGCTGATAAAAACCTTGACCAGCTTAGCTTTGTTCAAATTTTTTATATTCATTTCTGAGTCTTCAATCAAACAGACACGAAAGATGAAATTTTTTTCAACAGGAATCTTCCTACCAGGGTTGTCGATTGTTTTGAAATGTGGGAGAGGCAAAAAATTCCCCAGAAAGTCGGGAAACTTTGGCAGAAAGTACCTCATTTTATCTGCTGCTAGCAACCGAACAAATAATGCTAATTTCGTCGACTTTCTGCGAGATTTTGTTGAAAAAAATTTCATCTTTCGTGTCTGTTTGATTGAAGACTCAGAAATGAATATAAAAAATTTGAACAAAGCTAAGCTGGTCAAGGTTTNTATATGAAAATGACAAATCTTGTTCAAGGAGGTCATAATATTTTTTAGTGGTACACTTTTTTCTAAAATATTTCTGTGCGAACAGTTTAAAATATATTAATACTGAGTATATTTTTTCTGGTATCGCGATTGTATTGATTCTATTCCTTCGTTTTAAGTTAGCATAATTAGAAAAGGATATTGATACATATTGAAAGAATACCAAATATAATATCTAATTCTCTAATAAAGTTTGAAAATAACTGCTCTATAGTTACATTGCAAATTTATCGTGACTGGTTGTGACCAGGTTTTGGTCACGGTCACGTCATGGTCACGAGTCCTTTTCGAAAAATGGTCACGATCTTGACTCACGACCGTGACCGTGACTCACGGTAGTCACGGCGGTCACGCCGATGTCTAGTGTGGGGTGTGGGTGTGGGTGTTCATGTGAATGTGAGTGTTACTCTTGATAGAGAAACATCCACACCCACACACCCACTCACACCCATGCCCCGCACCCACACCCACACCCACACCAACATATGTGGCCCATGGCTACCCATGGGCTGAGCCGATTTTTTGGGAGAAAATCATGGGTGGGCCGGGTTAAAGTTCGATAGCCCATGGGTTGACTTTCATAGGCCCAGCCCAGCCCATTAGGACCCCTGTTATGAATGTACGAAAAATGCAAGAGTATTATTATTTCGATAAGATTTCATTATTGTAAGCGATTTCAAGTTCGGTATTTTCTTCTTTTGTAGGCTTTTCTGAAAGTTACAATACTGTATAGTTTCTAAACTTCGAAAACACGAGTCACTTGATGCATATCTAAGTCAATTGATTCCAGGCAACGGCATTTTATCTTTGTGACTAGTCTTTAGTTAATTGTGATCAGAAAACTATAGGCTAAATCAAAATTGATGTCGCATCAGGAAGAAACATTCAAAATTGACTGTTTTCTTATACTATAGATGTTTTCGAGACTCTTTCCCATCAAAAAATTTACTTCTAGTTTTTTCTTCGTGCCGGTGAATAATTTAATATTTTTATCATTTAGTAGCTATCGTTTCGGGTTGAGTAGGATTCTGGAAATTTAGATCACTTGCTTCACTGGAAAAATAACGTTTTCGAGAGACTCGGTTTCGCGTATTGAACATGAATTTGAAGTCATTTTTTCGATTAGGGAAAGATGTTGTATGACTTGTACAAGCTAGGTCGAACACGAACTAGAGTGTCAATAGCATCGTGAACGAAAAGATCGCAAAACTACTCCACCGAAAGGACGAATTTCTGACAATTTTTCAGTTAGAGTATTTTCTCTACTTTCTATGTTGATTGTTAAAACAGAAAGTATCTGTAGTCTCTACTGTTTTCTATCTAACGTGACGTGCCCAAATCTCCAAGCTATCGAGTCATTTCTAATCCAATCTCAAAATATTAAACATATCAATTTTTACCGATTAAAAAAATGCCACAAACAGAAGTGCTTATGCTACTAGTTTCAGTTTGCATTATTCACCATTAAAACCAAATGATCTAATATTTTCGACTCGAATATCATTTGAAAGAACCTTTCATTTGAGATAACTAAATTGAAAGTTAAAAGCATTTCTCTGAAGATTATGTGGTTAACCCTCTATTAAGGATATTGGTGAAAATACTACTTAACAAAGATGGCGTGCTACTTTAACTGTATCAAGAAAGCTGGGAACTCTGTTTAATAATCGAAGATGAAAGATACTTTTGTGTTACTATCTAGTTCGAGATGAATTAAATCATATTTGAGATTTGTTATTTTTTTTTAAAATTCATGCCGTGTGTATTATGGGCAGATGCATCTTGCCACGAGAAGTCCAAACATGGCTTTCGATCTTTTTGGTCTTGTTTTGATGTACAAAACCATCTAAACCAATTGGAGAAAATTGTGCATCAAAATTTATTTTTCGCGAATGCTTGATTTTTACTACTTAAATTATTTTTGATATATCTCCATCAAAGTAAAAACTTTTTAAAAAAGGTTTTTCTTATAAAATTGTTTAGAATTAAAAGCTCTGCAAATTATGTTGGTTTTTATTGAAATTCAATATTACTTTTATACGCCTGATTCGGATCCTTCAAAACTACCCTTTCAAAAAAACCTATAATATTTCTTTTTACAAATAACCATAAAAGAAATTATTGAGAAATATCAAGTACTACTTACTTTTTGTTCGTACTTCGTACGATTGTAGATTCATGATGACGACACTAAGATCTACACTCATAAAGTGTTAACCAGAGACTTTCGTCTGACTTGATTTTTAAATATTACGTTTAAGTATTATCTAAGTCTCAATGTAGCATAAATTATACCAGTGAAGAAGCTAATCTCGAACAAGAACTTATCAAACAAACATCACAAGAAAAGTAGAAGATAAGACAATAAGAATAGCTTGTGACTTTAGAACGCGATCATCAGTGACATTTTATAAGAATTTATGTTTTGAGAATTACTACTTATATTCATACACTCGAATCTATCTTTTGCATTATATAAACATACCTTGATTGTACTGCAAGAAAGCTTACAGCTAGGTGGTTCACTTTTAGTCTTACTTTTTTAATACCAAAATGAAAGTTATGATTCAAAAGTAAAAGATAGAAACCAACAGATCTTAGAGGTCTCTTATCATTAGTTACAGATCAGAGGTGGGCACAGAACCATCCTGTCCTGTGCACATCTCTTATATAGATAAAATCAGCAATGTTACACATAACAAAAGCAGATTCTTTTCTTTTTATCATATGCTCTACAAAAAGTGTTTATTCTGTTTTCGAACAAACAATCATCTTCGACAGAACTTTTCACAGGTATTCGCGTAACGTTATTATTCTTACGACATCAGTTCATTGAAATTGAAGTTGAAAGAAAAACCTTAACTTTGATTATACACATGCAAAAAAACAATCTTTTTTCGTTTCCTTAATAAATAAATATTTTTCTTGAGAAATAATATTATATTTCATTTTATTTTCATACAACAACCTATCTCTAGAACATTCAAAATTGATTATTTTCATCACATGCCTCAATTATGTGCGATCGAGAAATGTACACGAAAATCACGTTGGCTGTGCGATTGTTGCAAGCAAAATATTTGTTTACAACATTTAAATGAACATAATATCTCACTCATTTCTCAACTAAATCCTTTAACTGATGAGATTAATGTACTTGGAGTCCGTCTCAAAACATTAAATATACAAAAAATCATTGACAATAATCGTGAAAAACTTGAACAATGGCGTCAAGATTGTTATAAGAAGATTGATTGTTTATTTGAACAAAAATGTCAAGAACTTGATCAACTTATTAATGAAAAAGTTGATCAACAACGACAAGAACTCAATCGAATACACTTGAGGATAACTGAACTCATCAATACACAAGAAACAACTCGTCAAGAAATTGATCGATTGTCATCAACTATTCGTCAGCTCGAAAGAAATATGAACAACAGCGAAGAAACATGTTTTACGATCGATACTCGTCCATTACTAATAGATGACACGTTCATTTCTATTAAGAAATCCATTGAAAAAGAGCTTGATCTATCAACTCTTTCGCCTGCATCTACAACGATTCATCGTCCCAATGGAAGTTCTGGACCACTAACTTGTAATGATCAATATATATTGGTACATCAGCATCCAAATATATGTTTATTTAATCAAGAAATGAATATAATTAAACACGCCGTATGGTCTTATGGTCGAATTTGGGACATGTGTTGGTCGTCAACATTAAATCGATTCATTGTGCTTGGAAGAAATAACATCTATCTCATAAACGAAAATACAATGTCAATTAATAATGTGTATACAAGTGTAGAACATGACTTTATATCGTGTACATGTTCTAATACACTTCTCTTTGCATGCACAAATAATTCTCCTTCGAGTATTTTGGAATTCACATTATGTCCAACAATCGAAATAATTAGAGAATGGAGGGGTCCTCTTACATGTGCCAAAGATGAAATTATCGATGATATGGTTTACAATAATGAAACTCTTGCTCTAATGATTAAGAATAAATCCGAGAGACCGCTACGAATGGAGCTGAGATATGCAAAAATGCTCGATCGCATATGGGCACTTCAAATGGATATGACGTGCGTCTGCAGAATAGCATTTCGTTGTTGTTCACTCACTTGTAATGAATGGCTTATTGTTGATTATGAGAGTGGACGTTTGCTTCAGATTACAAGAGACGGAAAAATAAAGAAAACAATGAAATATAATCCAAGTCCCCACCGTGCTATTCTGTTCAACTCAAATCAATTAGCCATATCGACTGGGAAGCATGTAAACTTGCATACAATTCAATAAAATTAATGACTACGTTCGTTTATTATTTATCTTATTCTTTCGATGAAGAACTCGAACTAAAAATAATTAACCTCATATTTCTGAAATATTATTCACGTTTTATTTGATAATCGAAATCAGTTAAGCTGCAAATATTTTTTTTATTCACTTCTATGCAAACAAAACATAAAACTAACTTGAACAATAAAATACAAAAACTTATATATGTGAAATATAAATCAGGGATGATGATGTTAACAATATACAGCATCTATGTCAGTCACATAACTTTTAATTATAATAAGAGTTTTTGCATATAGAGTTTTTCATATATAGAAAGTTGGATGATTACATGTTAACTTGAAATGTTTTGTTGATTGGAAAAGATCCCCAATTGCTGTATATTGTTTTCTCTGATTTGTGTCGTGTATGGGGAAACCTCATTCTCAGGAAAAAGCCTAAGAGGATTGGGGCTCATGCAACCTCCTCCAATACATATATTTATATTCGATCTTTCGTAAAGATACAAATCATATGAAAAGATCTCGTATAACTCAAAAGAATATTCTCTAATGTCTTACAAGATACAACTCTATGTAGTAAGTAGACGTAGATATAAATGGAACTAAAAAATCCTTAAACAAAGTCTATGCATACCATTATCGACAAAAATAACAATATTTTTACTAAACTTAGGGTCTGTAAGCAGGTATTTTTCAAAAAAACTGAATTAAAAGTTTTTTATCTAAAATTTTGTCAACAGATATAGATTTAATTATTCTTAGAATATCGCTTGAAAAGTTCAATCAAAAAGTGTATTCCTTTTCCATGTTAGAACGAATCTCTTACAAGTTATACGTGTTGTATAGAAATGATTTCTTTCTTATTTAGCTGCGAAAATATTCATATCAATTAAAAGAAAACATATTTGTCGGTATCCTTTTAGATTTTTTCCTTTATTTTGATATAGTTAGATAGGAGACAGAGTGACACGAAACTTTTGCACGTTCATATTTCATTGAAACTGCATTCATTAATCATGAAAACTACTTTAGATGGAAGAAATCCATCAAATTGAAATGCGCAGTAAAACGAATTTTTAATAAAAGAGAAAATTAAATTTATTTTACTTTTCGTCCTATATCAAACAACAAAAAAATCATAAACTTACATCATTAAAATTTCCTTGAAGAAAAACAGAGAATAGTCTATAAAAAAAAGAGATTACGAAGCTATATATAAATAAAAATTTCCAGTACTCTAGTAGATATTAATTACGGAAAAAATTAACTATGAAATGATCACAAAATTTCAAGGTAAACAAAAACTTTTTTGGCTACTTGACGAAAATTATCGAAGTTTTTGCACAAGACACAAAATAAATCAAATAAAAATATATAATTACTCTATCCAACTATGTGCAATTATTATCTTAGTGAACAACAAAAATTTGTCAAAGTCTTATTAAGAACACAGATTTAACGAAACATTTATTTCTTCTTGTACGATTTTTATATTTTAATAGATACATTAAATACTTTTTTTTCTAGAATCTGAAACAAGTATGATTTATAAATGAAAATTATCGGTAACACAATTTTCCAACACATCTGATTTTATTCATTCTCAGACACCGGAATCTATGTTGCAAATCAGATATTGATTTTTTTTTCCATTAGTTTCCATAAGTGAAGAATGCTCAATATGGAATTCATACGAATCAAAATGAACAGTAAGAATATAATTAGTAAAATATGTAATACTGTACATCTGAGAATAGAAAAGCCGATTACATTTGACCAACCCTTTCAAAAAATAATCTCTTTGTACCAAACCAGCATCAGTTCGAAATGATGACGGGTGAACCAAAATCAATGACGTTCTTCGTTGTTTGTTGATATTTGCCTAAGCCTTTATTGTTTAGGCTTCTTTTTTAGTATCGAAAGATGTGGTTTGTAATTTTTGACAAATTCATATAAAAGTGACTTCATCTTAGTTTGTCAGATAAAACATTGAACAGATAATAATTGACATCGTTAGCATGGCCAATTTGTGAAATGTTTTCAGCACATTTCAGCATTTTTTTTTGTCTACTTTTGGGACAAAGTAGACTATTATTGATGAATATCCACCTTTTATCTCAACTGGGCAGAAAAATACAACAAGAGTGAGTGTTACCATACTACTATTCCGGAAAAACAGAAATGATTCATTGGAAAACAGGATGAAATCTGAGAAATTTTCTACTATTGTTGAAAGATAGAATTAAAACTGAGCGAGATATCGACAAAATACGAAGGTTCTCATATATTCTGGAGTCATCGGCTAGAAATAAATTTAAGTAATAAAATTTGTTTTTTATTTAGATCAAAATTCAGAAGTAGATGTTGACATTATAACAAAAAATATAATGAAAAATCACTATCTAAAAATAAATTTAAAATTCATCCTTTATTCTAATCTTTTTATGTTTTATTAAATATTAATTAAAAAATACTTTGAAATAATAGTTCTAAATGATGTTTTCCGAGGTAATGCGATTTTTTTCGAATTAAAACAGGTTCCGTACTATTACGATGAGAAAGATCTAACAGAGAGATTTACAAAAAAAAAGCTATTTTAACCATAACAAATTCATATATTTTATCAAAATATTTCTGGAATCCATGGAAATATATAATCAATATTCATGAATACAAGAGATCGTCATATATATTTCTAAATAAAATAAGTTGTTTTGAAAAATTGAGAAATCAAATAATCTCGCATTTTTATTCATGTTTCAGATGTTGTGATTTTACAAGTGATTCCTTTTTACTTCATTGCCAGAAGAAAAATAAACTCCATTCCACATTGATATATAAATACTCTATATATATTATATCACGTAATAAAAAATTAATTGTACATGAAACAATCTTTCAACTGTATATTCAAGGTCATCACTCTGTCTATTGATTCACAATAACAACATGAGATACACGAAAATTATAAGTGTCACTGTAAATGATCAAGTTCGTTTTTCTATAGCAAAATAGAACAGAAGAAAAAGGCAAAATACATATTCATAAAATATTGTTAATTAAATCGATGCATTCATCCATGCATTTATTTTATTTTTTTTATTCTGACAGACATTTCACTGTATATCAAACTGGTTCTGATGGTAAAAAGTGAATTTATTAGAATATGATGTATCTTCTTTTTAGTTTACAATTCAGTTGAATTTTCTAATAGTATCAACAATACTATATAATAATCAACCAATTGATTATTCTTATCATAGTTTTTCCGAAGAAAGATCTTCTCTTCAACATTTAGTTTTTTTGACATTCAACAGAAATATCACTAATTGCTATAGGAGATTCACAAGGAGGTAAACAAAGTGTAACTATACACATATGTCCTATCAAAACTACACCACTCGTTGAAGTTGTAACTTCAACAAAAATTTCTCGAAGTCATTTCAATTCAAAAAAATATCCAATAAATATCAATAAACTGTTGACATTAAAAACAATATATATACATATATATATACTTACAGCTAGTTTTTTATTTCGAGTAGTTTTCTTAAATCTAAACTATGCGTGCAAAAGAGATGTCTCATTTCGATGAAATTTTTAGTATATGTAGAGCAGTTGGTTCTAAGATTTTGATAAAAACACGTTTTTGAAAAACATCATTTTGACGGTGATATACTAGAAATAGTTTAAGTAGTGAAAAATCGAACATCGCAAAAAAAAATCGTTTTGTCGCACAATTTTGTTCAATTGTTTTAGTTAGTTTTGTATTTCAAAAGAAGATCTTACTAAACTTCTCATGAGTTAGAAAAAACAAATAAACCTTAAACATGATCTGAGTTGTCACTGTTCGCACAATAATACGATACTATCTTCATTCCGCAATTGTTTCGAAAAGCCGAATCACGCTAGTTGTTGGCAAAGTATTTTATAGAGTATCATTGACTCTACAAACAAGATAGTACAAAATTCGCAGAGTTGTTGGTACGGCTAAAATTTTAAGTTAACTTTGTTTAGTATATATTTTCACTCATAAGCATAGGAGAGTTGACCAAATGGTCGTCAGAAAAACATCTTTGACTTTTAATTCAGTATTCCAAACGAAAGGTCTAGTTAAACCACAGTGAAATCTACAATAATACAAACTGAAACAAATACAAAAGACTCCATGTTGTGATCCTCTTCAATCGTGGAAAATTGATGTCTTTTTCGTATTACGATATTATCTCTGGAATGGCTAAATGATTCTGGCTCGGAGATTCTTCATTAGATAGAAAATTCATACTATTTCAATGATCAACGTAAAAAAATAGACAAAATGCTGTAACTCAAACGCTGTGAAAAATTAAGATATGCATCCTTCTGGTACAACAGAATTTCGGACTTTTCTTTCATGATGCAACTAATATCATAGTCCTTTTATGATCAGAGATAGTCATCATCGAGACCAACTTTTGACATTCATTGTCCTATGTAAATAATTTGACGATCGAGTTAGCATTAATCACAATGTGGCTTACTTCTCTTATATTGACGATTAATCCTTCTTGTAAAAGTCATGCAATCTCTTTCAAAATTAAAAGAATCATTTCAGATATATGTTCAGCGTACGAAATGGAATGGTAAAAATTTCGTAAGAATGTTTTTCTTGTAGTGTCCACCTATATCAGGCTCAAAATCGATTTGTCTCCTACGTTAAAAATAATTCTAAGACTTTTTGTCAACGAAAAAATAGACTCCTAGTCATCTCTCTGAGGTTGCAGAATACACAACGTTTTTAAAATAGTGTTTTTATCATATAACCTTCTGTCGCTTAACATTTATTAGCATTCAGGAAAATCGAGTCATTCGCTTCACTGAAAAAAGGGTGTTTTCAAGAGATCCGGTTTCGCGTGCTGAACATGAATTTGAAGTAACTTTGTTGATTACTGGAAGATATTGCATGTTTTCTATGGACAAAATTATTGGTCACTAGTACGTGCAAACCAAGTTGTGGATAATACAAATTAGATAAGTTATTAACATAGAATAATTCTATATCAAAGATACTTCCGGATGAAATCTATGTCTGGTGAAAAAAAAACTTTAACATCACTTGCACTACAGAAGAAAAGTTCAAAATAGTACTTCATCAGAGAGGTGCATTTTCGACAGTTTTTGAGTTTGAGTGTCTTATCCACTTTTTGTATTGGACAGTAAAATAAAATGAATTCGTACTCTGTACTGATTTTTTTTTCTAATGAGATGTCTCCGAGTTCATACCATTCAGCCGTTGCTGAGATAACACCAAAATATGAAACACCCATTTTTTTATGTTTGTTCATAAACATTCATATAAATGTTATTGAAATGAAAACTGAACTATGAATATATATATTTCGTTTTCAATATCATGAGTTCATTTATATTTCTTTGGTATTTATTTGACTCGAAGTAATTTCGAAATTTTATTTTGTTGATATTGTAACTTTGTCGATCACCTTCGGTTATACATATAAGCACAGTCTATTATGCTAAATATAATGAAACATATTCTTTTCTTCTTGTCATATTTTCAGAAAAAATAAATATTCTGTTTTTGAATAGAAAATCATCGTCAGCTGAACTATACGTAGTTATTTTTATAAAATCATTTTTCTTAGTGTCTATTCCGAGACGAATGCAAAAATAAATCTTTTTTTGTTTCTTCCGCAAACAAACATTTGTATTAAGAAACAGTATCATATTTCATTTTATCTTCTTGTAACAACTGTCTCTAGAACATCAAAACTTTATTATATTTCAACAAATGTCTCAATCATGCTCGATCGAGAAATGTACTCGTACATCACGTGGATTGTGTGATTGTTGCCAACAAAATCTTTGTTTGCAACATTTAAATGAACATAATACTTTACTAGTTTCTCTACTGAATCCTTTAGCTGATGAACTTAATGCACTTGGAGTTCGTCTCGAAACACTAAATATAGAAAAAGTAATTGGCAATAGTCGTCAAAAACTTGAACAATGGCGTCAAGATTGTCATAAGAAGATTGATTGTTTTTTTGGACAAAAGTGTCAAGAACTTAATCAACTTATTCAAGAAACAGTTACAAAACAAGTAGAAGAACTCAATCAAATTCAGATGAAGATAACTGAATTCATCGATACACAAGAAACAACTCGTCACGATATCGATTCATTGACATTAACTATTCGTCAACTCCAAATCAATAAGAACAACATTGAGCGAACATGTTTTACGATCAATACTCGTCCGTTACCAATAGATGATACGTCCGTTTTTATTACGAAAACGACTGAAATAGAACTTGATCTATCAACTCTTTCGCCTGCGTACACAACAATTCATCGTAGTGAAGAAAGTTTTCGATCATTTACTGGTAATGATCGACACTTTTTGATACATCAAGCGCCAAATTTATGTTTATTTGATCGAAAAATGAACATAGTCAAACAAATGTTATGGCTGTACGGTACAATATGGGACATGTGTTGGTCATCAATATTAGATCGATTTATTGTACTAGGAAAAAAGAGTATCTATCTCATTAATGAAAATACATTGTCAATTGATAATGTGTACACAACTGTAGGACGGGACTTGATATCATGTACATGTTCTGATACAGTTCTCTTTGCATGCACAAATGAAGGTGCTTCATCCATTATGGAATTCACATTATTCCCAGCAATCGAAGTGATTAAAGAGTGGAAATATCCTCTTACATGTATGAAAGATGAAATTATCAATGATATTGTTTACAATAACGAAAATCTTGCTCTAGTAGTAAAGAATAAATCTAAGAAATCACTTCGCGTTGAATTAAGATATGCAGAAACACTCGATCGCATCTGGACACTTCAACTAGATATTAAGTGTGTTCAAAAGATACCATTTCGTTGTTGTTCACTTACTTGTAATGAATGGCTCATTGTTGACTATGAGACTGGACGCTTGTTGCAGATTACAAAAGATGGACAACTGAAAACAACAATTAAATATAATCCAACTCCGTTGCGTGCTATTCTATTCGATATAAATAAGCCAGCTATTTCAACTACGGGTGGCGTCAATCTGCATACAATTTAATAAACTGAATGACTGCTTTCGTTTAATGTTTTGCTTTACTCTCTCAATGAAGATCTAGAACTATGAATAACTAACTGCATACTTCTGAAGTATTTGTTAAGATTGATAAGATCATCAAGGTTAATCAAGTTAGAATATTTTCCTATACTTTTTTATGGAAATAAAATATTAAAATCAGTTAACCAATAAAGATAGAAGAAATTATATTTAATTGAAATGTTTGTAATAGACATCAGAGTGTGGTTGTGAAACCTATTTGCATTGCATCCATACGTTTCCGATGTATTTGTTTCTTTCAGTTTACTTATTTAACATGATACTTGAGCAATAACAGTAAAGAACAATCATTTAACACTAGAGAATAGAATTCACGTTACTCTACCATGTTTGACCAAGTGTAACAGAAACATTATTACGATGTGAACGAAGTCCAATATTAACTGAACGAGTTTCATCAATCGTTCGACAATCGAAAAGCTGATAGGAGAAAGTAAAGAGCTTTTGTTTTTTAATCAATTATCTCGAACTCATTTGATGATCACGAATACATTTCAATACAACATTACATTCAATAGTTGAACGAATTAATTCGTGCTTGTGAAGACAGAAATGATCTGATTTTTCGTTGTTTTATTTAATTGTTTTCTATCGATTAAGTTTTTTTTCTTGTTCGAAAATAAAATATTATGTCCGGTGTGAATGTGAGCATAAGTATGGTTGTGAAATGACGACGAAGCGAAGCACACTTTCACACTTACTCATTCCTAGCATAACCTTTCTTCTTGCCTTTAAATTCTGTTCAATTAAGAGAGGATCACTTTCTATGTGTAGCTCATTGCTGGTGGCTTACCCTATTACTTAAGGTGTATTATCTAAAAGAGAATATGGATGCTGTTCTTCTTCAGTCACACCCACACTCTTTAAAAGTCGATATCTCGAAGAGATTTCGTTCAAAATTTCTCAAATTTTTCATAGAAACTAGTTTGATTGAAATTTTAATATGGACAGAGTCTCCGATCGAAATTCAATATCTCAATCTAGGAGATTTATGAACTAAAATCAATAAAGACTTTTGAACTACTCATGATTATCTATCTAATGACAATAGTCTTAATTGAAAAGTCATTTTAAATCTGAAGACGATACTTTTTTTCTAGAATCTGAAATAAGTGTGATGGATAAACGAAAAGTACGACTAACAAATTCTCTCGAAGAATGTTCAGAATTTTTAGACTCAAGAAAAATCCAACATGTTGTTTTTCGAAAGTTGAAAACGAACTTTAATGTATATTGAACTTGAAAGTGCTCCTCTGAATAAATGGATGAAAATTAGAAATGTCCTCTATCGTTGGCATGAAAACCAGTTTATTCAATAGATTTGTAACAAAAATATTCAAATTTATTTTTGTCAAGTAACTTTTAGGATACTCGTTATATCATAGCTAATTTATCAAGTCATATTTCTGACGTTTTCTTTTATGATTACTTAATGATGAAAAAAGATATTTGACTTGTTAGAACATTATTTCCAAAGAAAGTTATTTGTGATGATAAGAATCATTTTAGTTGAAACTATTTTAATTATAGTTACATATACAGATTGAGAAGATGAATAAAATCAAACTTCAATTAGAGTTAATGTATTTCACATCCAAAATGAATTATATAATAACTTTAAAGTGATTTTGTAAGTGACCTGAGTGTTCAAGCTGTACTAAGCCCACTATTTTCTTATTATATTCTAAAAAATTCGTGGTTAATTTTTAAATTTTTGTGTAGCATATTTCGAAGTTTATAACTTTCTTGCTAGACGTGCAAGCGGAGTTAATCAATAACTATTTTACAGAGTGTGTTTTACTGCATCGTTTCATCATAGAAACAAATTTACAAACACATATTTTAGTGTAGAAAAACTTACTATACAAATCGAGTTAGCACATCTGGTCCATCCTTAATACGAAACAAACTTTTAAATGTCTGCTCAAGGTAATTACTCGCTCTACTGATTCCCATAAACAATATGAGATAGATAAAAAGGATAAATGTAACTGTAAATAATCATGCCGTTTTTTTACTATAGCAAAACAGAACAGAAAAAAAGGTAAAACACATATTCACCTCGTATAGTTAATTAATACGATGCATTCGTCCATGCATTTATCTTCTTTCTTTTGTCATTCTTACATATAGTTTAGTGTATATCAAACAGATTCTAATGGTTAAAAGGTATATTTATTCAAATATGATCATTTTTTTTTAATCTTTTTTCTAGTATAAAATTCGATTGAGTTTTTGAATAATATTAACAGTATTATATAATAATCAAGTAATCGATTATTGTTATCATAACAATTTTGAAGAAAAAAAAAACATATTCTCTTCAGCATTTAGTTTTTTGATATTCAACAGAAATATCACGAATTGCTATAAGATAATCACAAGGAAGTATACTAATTAAAGGTAACCATATAAATATATACCGAAATTACACCATTTGTTGAAGTTATAACTTCGTCAAAATTTTTGACGAATTTTCAACATTGACAAGAAATCTCTTGAAGTCACTTCAATTCAACTAAATACCAAATATCAATAAATATATGACATTAAAAACAATATACATATATATATATATTGAATGTTCCATAAAAATTTGTCAATTCTCGCATAACATAGTATAGTTTATTTAACGAATGTAGTCTCCTCCATTGTTTTTGATTAAACGTATTCTTACATTACAATCAAGTAGAAAATTAAAAATCCTTCTTTTTTAATTTCTTTTTTTGACAGCATTTTTCATTTCGTCTAACAATGCGGACATTGTTGTTATGCGATCGTAATTCATCATTTCAGCGAAGTCATTCCATAAACTGAAATTTATTTGACATAAATCAGGTGAATTTTATGCCCAACAATACCGTAGGATGAATTTAGGAAAATGGTCAGAACACCAATTCTCAGCTCAGATGATGTATGTGAGGTGCCACATCTATACCTTTGATAATATGCCTAGTTCTTTCCTAAGATTGTCTTCCCGGATTTTAGAGCTCACATACATCTAACCATACCATCAGTTTCATAGGAACTTTGATTTCTCATGAGTACTACCTTTTTTGTCTGCTTCTTTTCTATTTATAACTCATACTCGGTCGCTCTGAGTATTACAACTAGTTTATCGAACTACTTGGCTGAAGCTATGAATTGAGATCACACAACAACAATGTCCACATTGATAGACGAAACAAAACGTTCTGTCGAAAAAAACTAAAAAAAGAAATATTTTAAGTTTTCTACTTGAGTTTAATATAGAAGACTATATTCATTAGATAAACTATACTGTTTGGTGAAGAATTTCAAGCGCCGTCTTTCTAATAAATAAAACGTGTTTCAATCAAACGGATAATAGAAGAGAAATTTCGAAAATATGAACCGAGTAATTCTTTATGGGTTACTCGAGATTTATAGTTAGTATCTCATTTTGCGTAATTCTATTAAATTTGAACAACGCGCATAAAAGAGATCTCCGATTTCGAAAGAACTTTTAGTATTTCGAATAACTTTATTTTCATAGAGATATCCTCAAAATACTTTAAGTAGTGAAAAATCAAACATCCTCGAACAAAATGTTTTAGGTAGTTTTGTACTTCAAAAGAAGATCTTACCAAACTTCTCAGGAATTAGAAAAAATAAAATCTCAAACATGATCTGAGTCGTCACCATCCACCTAATAATACGGTACTATATCGCGTCCGCCATTATTCCAAAAATTCGGATCACGCCATTTTTTGGCATAGAGTATTTGATACAGGGTCACGGGCTCTGCGGCTATAATACTACAAAATTTGCAACATTATTGCTACGACTAAGATATTCAGTCAACTTCGACGAGTAGTATTTTTTTGTCAACACTCTTAAGAGCGTTGACCACACGATAGTCGGGAAAATAGTTTTCACTTTCGATTCAAAATTCTCAAATGCAAGGTCTAGTTAAATCATACTCAAATCTAAAATACTAGATCATTTAATTTTACTAATAAATAATACAGACTGACACAAATATCAAGGTTTCTTTTTGAGACATTTTTTAATCGTTAAAATTGATGATTATATAGAAAACAGTACGGACTACAAGTTCATTCTATTTCAATGACCAACATAGAAACTAGGTCAAGTGCTCTAACTCAAAATCTGTCAAAAATTCATCAATGCACTCTTCTGATGCGACAGTACGTCTGATTTTTCTTTCATGACGCAAATTATACTATAGTTCTTCTTTTATCGCATATAATTATCATCAAGGCTTTTTTGTCGGCAAAAAATACACTCATAGTCCTCTCTCCGAGATCGCAGAATATATGATGTTGTTTAAATAGTGTTTTTATCACATAGTCTTCTGTTACTTAACATCCATCAGCATTCGGAAAATTCGAGTCATTCACTTCACTGGAAAAATGGTTTATTTGAAAGATCCGGTTTCGCACATTGAACATGAATTTGAAGTCACTTTTTTCATTACTGAAAGAGATTGCATGCTTTCTACAGACAAAATTTGTAGTCACTAATAAGTGCAGATCAAGTTGTGGTTAATCTCACCTCATTCTCCAGGTTATTTACAATTGGACAATTGAATATCAAAAGATACAACTAAACAAAATCTATATGTAATCATCAAAACCATAGTATCACTGGTGTCGCAAAAGAAACGTTCGAAATACTGCTTCAAGGGTGAAGAAGTGCATTTTCGAATTTTCGAAAGTTTTGAGTTAAAGTGTCTTGCCCATTTTTTTGCACTACACATTCAAAGGTAGAATCAATTTGTATTTTGTACTGATTCGGTTTCTATTGAGATATCTCTGACTTCATACCATTCAGCCATTGCTGAGATCACATTTCTTACAGGATCTATTTATTTATACGAATGCAAAAATAAATCGTTTTCGTTTCTTCAACAAACGAACGTTTGTATTAAGAAACAGGATCATATTTCATTTTGTCTTCTTACAACAACTATCTCTAGAACATCAGAATTTTATTATTTTCGACAAATGTCTCAATTATGCGCGATCGAGAAATGCATTCGAAAATCACGTTGGATATGTGATTGTTGCCAGCAACATCTTTGTTTACAACATTTAAATGAACATAATGCTTTTCTTATTTCTCAACTGAATCCTTTAACTGATGAAATTAATGCACTTGACATTCGTCTCAAAACAGTAAACGTTCAAAACAAAATTAGCAATAGCCGTCTAAAACTTGAACAATGGCGTCAAGATTGTTATAAGAAGATCGATTGTTTATTTGAACAAAAATGTCAAGAACTTGATAAACTTGTTAATGAAAAAGTTAACGAACAACGAGAAGAGCTCAGTCGAATACACTTGAAAATAAGTAAACTGATCGATGCACAAGAAACAACTCGTCAAGATATCGATTCATTGACATTAACTATTCATCAACTCGAAATCAACATGAACAACATCGAGCGAACATGTTTTACGATCGATACTCGTCCATTACCAATAGATGACACATTCATTTCAATTAAGAAAATAATTGAAAATGAGCTTGATCTATCAACTCTTTCGCTTGCTTACAGAACGATTTATCGTAGTGAGACAAGTTTTCGATCATTAACTAGTAACGATCGATACTTTTTGATACATGAAGAACCAAATTTATGTTTATTTGATCGAGAAATGAACATAGTCAAACAAATGTTATGGTCGTATGACACAATCTGGGATATGTGTTGGACATCAACCTTAGATAAATTCATTGTACTTGGAAAAAAGAATATCTATCTCATTAATGAAAATACAATGTCGATCGATGATATGTACAGAATTGGAGAACGAGACTTGATATCATGTACATGTTCTGATACAGTTCTCTTTGCATGCACAAATGAAGGTGCTTCATCCATTATGGAATTCACATTATTCCCAGCAATCGAATTGATTAAAGAGTGGAAATATCCTCTTACATGTACGAAAGATGAAATTATCAATGATATTATTTACAATAACGAAAATCTTGCTCTGATGGTAAAGAATAAATTCGAGAAATCGCTTCGCATTGAATTAAGATATGCACAGACACTCTATCGCATCTGGGCACTTCAGCTTGATGTCAAGTGTGTTCAGAAGATACCATTTCGATGTTGTTCACTCACTTGTAATGAATGGCTCATTGTTGACTATGAGACTGAACGCCTGTTACAGATTACAAAAGATGGACAACTGAAAACAGCAATTGAATATAATCCAACTCCATTGCGTGCTATTCTATTCGATATAAATAAGCTGGCTATATCAACTGAGGGTGGCGTCAATCTACATACAATTCAATCAAATCAATGACTACGTTCATTTGATGTTTTGGTTTGCTCTTTCGATGAAGAACTAGAACTACGAATAACTAACTGCATATTCCTGAAATATTATTTAAGATTGATAAGATCATCGAGATCAATCAAGTTAGTAAACTTTTTTATTTTGTTATATGAAAATAAAGTATTAAAATCAGTTAACCAATAAAAATAGAAAAAATTAACTTTAGTTGAATGCTGAAAACATAAATCTCAGATCATGACGTTAAGAAATAACAATATTTTATAAGCGATACATCTTTTAATAATAACAGTCGGCAATGAATCCAGCATTTTCCATGTACAACATGAAATGTAATCAATATGAAGAATAAAACGTTTTTTTAGATTTGAATTGATAATATAACTAATAGTTTCTTCTTTCTTCGAGTAGTATAAGATTTTGAAATCTTTCAATGACGAGGATTAGCTACTCAACTGATCCACACTGTTTTCACTGATGTTTTACATCAATTTGAGTAAATTTATTCTAAGAAAAAAAAAGGCTAAAAGGGCTGTGACTGATGCAGTCTCTTCGAATAGGTATGAACATATTGATTTTACCATACAGAGAGAAATTATGTCAATCAACCTTTTATAAATCATAAGAAAATCTTTCTAACTTATCACAATATACTACACTATATCATGAACAGAACTGGATATGTATCAGACTAAGAAGAAGTTAAAAGTATATTTACTCACAATATTCTCGACAAAAATTGCAAACTTTTTAACTCAACTTTGGATCAATAGCCATGCTTGTTTTCGAGAAATAGAATTTTCAATAATATTTATTCATTTAAAACCTATTTTGAACTGATTACAAACCAATTTCACTAGTATCGTTCGATCTCTTATTAATAGAGTTCATAGGAATATAAAAGTTTGACATATACTTGTAAATATAAATTTTTTTTTCAAAAAGTTTTTATTAAACCTAATAATCTTCTATTATTCTTCATATTTAGTCTATTGCATTGTTTCAGATAAATTCTTTTACTTTGTTGTCACAATAAAAACAAACTCTATTCAGTTTTTATATGCAAATACTGTATATGGTATGTCATGTAGTAAAAATTTAATTGTATATGAAATAAACCATTAAATATCTATTTAAGTTAATCGTTTGCTGTACTGAATCACATAAACAGCAGAAGATACAGAGAACAAAGTACACGTGTGACTAAAATCACACACATGGGACTTTCTGTAGCACAACAGAACAGAAAAAAATTCAAAACATCACTTACCAAATATTACTGAATACTACGATGCATTCATCCATGCAATTATTTCTTGTTGTTCTTCATTTTGTCATGCATTTTAGTATATATAAAACTGATTCTAATGGTAAAAAATGTATTTATTCGAATAATATCAATAGTATTATATAAAGGCTTGCATTTAATTGCTCAGTATTTTCTTGCAAATGCTCAGTATAATTTATTATTCAGTAAATAGTTTGAAAAGCTCAGTAATTTATTTAAAAAGGCTCAGTATTTAAAAATCTTGGCGTAGGTTTGGGCGCCAGTGTCAGCCTTCCTATAGAGTTCAACAGTCGCAAAAATTACCCGCAACCGAAACCGTTAAATTATCAAGTTGATACGAAAATTTTATATATATTTTGAGAAATTTTCACTATTGAATTGTTAAGATTAAAGATGCCACATATTTCAGTATTAACGAAAACAATATAAAAAAACGGGTGATGCAGAAGAAATTGCCGGCTTTTGATAAGCTATTTTTTAAAGTTAAACTGTATGAGAAGATTTCGTTCTGATGTCAAAAGATAGAGAATTTTGTGTAGATTGTATCGATATGTTCTTTGTAAAATTAGCATTGGTTCTTCTCTTGTAATATTAAAGGTATGGGATACTACAAAAACATCATTTGCTCAACTGTAAAATGAGACACTTTTGAACTCAAATTTTTGTATGGTTAACTATGGTTCAAAAATTTATTCTTGCTGCTAAACAATGCAGAATTTTTCCGTATATCTAGTAGTGTTTTTATTTTTTTTAAACTTAATTGTTTTTGCTTAAAAAACCACAAAACATCAAGAAAATATCCTCGGCCAAAAGAATCGTACTTTTTGTTACCAATTTTCTCAAAACTTGGTATTACAAGAACTACTCTTTTTATATCAACAGATGCAGAATTTCAAGCTCTACAAAATGCTCTTCATTATCAGAGCTGAATTCATTTTGTAAACTAATGATGAGACTAAGATCTGTTGCCTGACACAAAAAAGCATAAAAAAAGGACAATTAGGCATTTTTTGCAAACTGTTTTTCGAATGACGAGATTTCATCCGAAGATTTGGTATTGGGTCTCAAAAACAGATAAGTCTCTGTATTTTATAATACTGCATTTGAATAGTGTATGAAAAGCCATCTAACAAAGAAAACAAACACTTTATTCCCGTAAAATACTGAGCAAACTATGTTTTTGTGGTATCCAGTACC